ATAATCATAGGATATAGGTGATATGATTTTGATTTGTTAAGGATAAATGAGTTGGTCATCTCATTGTCCAGTTGACTTGTGTTTATTAAACAGAAATCTTTGTCTTATCTCAGATCTCGAGTTTTGAAATTCTCTTGTATTTATTATCTCACAAATTCATGTCTTCTATAATCATACTGTTTATGCCGAATCTTTCCTACCACAACTGATATTACTGTTAGGTTTACAATCCGGCATCTCCCTACTTTGATATGGTGTGGAAGTTTGAACCCCCGACCGTAGCTGCTACCTTGACGTGGTGGTCGGGCTTGCCTATCGTGATGACCCAACCGAGCTATATTGGCTGGAACACATGTTCCTGTAGGTTCTACCATGCCAGACAGGTCGATTGGAGAACGGTAAGACTAAAAGCAGCAACTCAAAGTCTGAGGGCGAAGTCGTACTGCTGACTGTACAGTGTGACAGCAGTAAGGTGTTTCCCTCGGACAACCAGATTCTGCAGCGATGCTGCCTTCTCACAAGGAAGGGGTTAGAAAAGGTTGACCCTAAAAATGTCACACCTCACCTTACCCCACGGATTTCCGTCTCCGGCGGTAAGGCCCTTTGAAGAACGGAGCTAACACATTAAAAACCTCCCACAAAAAGGTTGTGCGCGACCAGCCTCAAGCGGTTGTCCCTTGGGCTCTGCGGTCACGCACTCAGGTCGCTATGACCAACACTAATCCGATTTCCTTTTCAGGTTCCTCAAGAAATACCCTTCCACGGTGTGAGCAACCGGGAAGTGATATCAGCCCTCATACCCGTAACAGCACACGAGACCAAGTTGGTTACATTCAAATCCTTCCTACACCTCCTAATAACTCTCTTATCTCCACGACTAACCTTTCTTACGTCCCTTTATCATCTCGCCCCGCTAGTGCGAACGATTCGAGTACGCGTAACGTTGTTAACGGTTTTTTGAAACCACGCTCTAAACTACATGTAGGAGCTTAAAACGTTCGAACACTGTGCCGAATAGGACAACAGACTTCCTTATCTAGGACTTTAGAATCTCGCTCCATCGATGTGTGCTGCGTCTCCGAAACGCGCACACAGGATCCTAGTAGTGTCATTCATTTAACCTCACCATGTCAAAGTAACGAACCAACTGGATTTACGCTTCGTGCATCTGGAAGCCCTGATGCTGCTTCCCACGACCTCGCTGGTGTAGGTATAGCATTGAGTCCTAGGGCAGAACTAGCTCTCTTAGACTGGACCCCAGTAGACAGTCGTTTGTGTGCTGTCCGACTAAACGGAACAGTAGGCACTCGGGAAGATAGGGACACTCGTCGTTGCCTGTTCATCGTCTCTGCCTACTCTCCCACTGACTGCAGCTCAGATGATGTAAAAGATGAGTTTTACAGAAAGCTTTCCGACCTTTTCCGAAAAGCTAGGCGTTCAGATGTAGCAATAGTGGCTGGTGACTTCAATGCTCAAGTAGGTAAACTAAGCGAAAAGGAAAGACACCTGGGTGGATCTTATGGTGTCGCGGTTCAAAGAACAGATAACGACGACCGTCTGTTGCAGCTATGCTCAGATAACCGCCTGTTTCTTGCAAACACTAACTATAGGCATAAGGAAAAACATCTTTTAACATGGAGACCCCCTAATTCGTCTCAACGCTGGACCCAAATAGATCACATCGCTATCAGCCACCGATGGAGGGGCTCGATAGAAGACTGTCGCTCATTCTGGAGCACATGCTTAGACTCAGATCATGCTCTAGTGCGAGCGCGTATTTGTCTACGTCTTACTGGACGTAGGAAACATGCTGCAAGGAAACCCCTTAGGGTCCTACTTAATGATAGTGAAGCTAAGAGTATATTTCAGGAACAACTAGAAAAACAGTTAGACAGCCATGTAAGTGACGCCCACCCCGAGGCAGCGTGGAATGACATCCGAAAAGCTGTAGAAACAGCAGTGATGTCTGCAAGTACGGTAAACCATAAGGTTAGGGAGAAACACTGGATCTCAGCAGCATCTACCGCACTGATAGATGCTCGTAAACTCATTCCATCTGGCTCTGAACATAACGAAGAGCGGAGTCAGCTTAAGCGTAAGCTGACTAGAAGCCTACGCAAAGATCGTGAACAGTGGTGGGTAGCGAAAGCAAGAGAGATGGAAAAGGCAGTGGCAATAGGAAACAGCAGACAACTGTTCAGACTTGTTAAGGAAACCGGTATTAGGAACCCAACTGTTAGCGAAACAATCTCAGAGAAAGATGGACATATTATTCATTCTCAATCCAGGAGATTGGACCGATGGGCAGAATACTTTAGGGATCAGTTCAACTGGCCTTCAGCCACACTTCGGTTTCCCACGATCTCCAGTCGACCTGAATGGCAAGTTGATGTAAGTCCTCCGACTCTTTACGAAGTTGAAAAAGCTATAGGAAATCTGGAGCGTGGGAGAGCAGCAGGCCCTGACAGGTTTACCCCTGAGATTTTTAAGGATGGTGGCCCAGTATTAGTAGCGAGATTGACTGAGGTCTTAGATAGAATTTGGTAACTGAATGTAACCCCATCTGACTGGTCTTAATCACTGATTATGTCAGTCTATAAGAAAGGACGAAAGTCCTCTTGTGACAATCACAGAGGAATTAGTTTGACTAATATAGTGTCTAAAATATTAGCTTCAATAATACTTCGACGTCTAACCAAAACTCGTGAAGAACAGACTAGAGAAAACCAGGCTGGTTTTAGACCTGGACGTGGTTGTATTGATCAAATATTCACATTACGTCAGGTCCTAGAACATAGACACACATTCAGACGCCCCACAATGGTAGTATTTCTCGACCTTAAGGCGGCATTTGACTCGGTTGATCGTGAGGTTATATGGCAGTGTTTATCACTGAAAGGAGTACCAAAGTACATCAACCTTATAAAGGCTCTCTACTCGAACACAACTGGTCGAGTGAGAGCTTATGGCGAACTGTCATCAGAACTGATTACCTCAAGTTGTGTTCGTCAGGGCTGTCCACTCTCTCCATTCTTGTTTAACTTTGTCGTTGACGTGCTTTTAGAGATGACACTTTCCTCATCTAAATTTCCAGGAGTTGAACTTCTACCGGGAAATTCACTAGTTGACTTAGAATATGCCGATGACATAGTTCTATTTGGTGAAGACGCTGACAAAATGCAGAGTCTGCTGACCATTCTAAGCAACAATGCAGGCATGTTCGGCATGCGATTTTCTCCCTCGAAATGCAAAATGTTGCTTCAGGATTGGGTTGCGTCGACACCCGAACTAGTGATAGGGAGTGAAGTAGTTGAGCGTGTCGACCGCTTCACTTATCTCGGAAGTCTCATCAGCCCTTGTGGTTTGGTGTGTGACGAAATCTCAGCACGGATACAAAAGGCTCGACTAGCTTTTGCCAACTTGCGTCATTTGTGGCGTAGGCGAGATATCCGTCTATCAACCAAAGGACGTGTTTACTGCGCAGCAGTTCGTTCCGTCCTACTTTATGGCAGTGAAACATGGCCAGTAAGAGTAGAGGATATTCGTAGGTTACTAGTATCGCTCGTATATCCTGAGACCACCGAGTAAGTAATGCAGTTGTTATGAAACGGGTATTAGGTAATGATGGCAAATCAATTGAGGAAGTAGTGAAACTTAATCAGTTGAGATGGCTGGGACATGTGTTGCGCATGCCCGACCACCGACTGCCGCGACGTGCGATGTTCTATGGTGTAGGAGTAGTTTGGAAGAAAGCTAGGGGCGGCCAGACCAAAACATGGCACAAATCCATGAAGTCACTGACAAGTGGACTGAGTCATGTTGGTAGGTGTAGACTACCTGGTTGGGGACCGCGAGACGATAGCAACCGATGGTTAGAGACCTTGAATGACATGGCTCAAAATCGTTTGCAATGGCGCAGGTGCATCCACTCTTTGTGTTCTCTCAATCTCTAATCTTCTGAATTCTTCATGTCCTTTATTTTCTTTCCCAATTTATTCCACTGGACTATACTCCTTTAATAACATCATCAAACCATCATGTCCCCTATCTCTACTTATACTTTCAGTACCTCTACCACTATGGGATTTGAATCGATAACTGAATCGCTGTGCTAATGTGGTATGGCAACTCGAACTGATGTACGTACGTACAAAGTTCCACGTTGTTACTGACTGACTGACTGGAAGTTTGAACCGATTCACAAGTATGCCAAGTTCTACATAGCGTATGAATGACTGGATGGATGGAACAATCGTCTAGATCATACTCTAACAAATAAAACGGATACAATGTTGGCAAAGCTTTGATTAGTCATAACTTACCATATCACTCTGAAATACGGATTAAAACAAGCAATACTATTTTATTTGTGTACAATTTAAAGCTGCTATAGGAAGGGCAATATTGTAGACGGATTAATGAAGATTACTTTAATGATGGACAGTCTTAAAGCAAAAAAATTACAGAGACAATATTTATGAATAAATCATGGTTTTTTTTAATACAATGAGAACTTAGAAATAGAATAACAATTATTGTGTGTTACATAAAGCGGTAAAATATACACTAGGAGTATAGCAGCAACTTTACAGGTTGACAATCTCAGTGGAAAACTGTTTCCCTATACATTTTTACCAAAGTATATTATAACGATTTTATGTAATAAAACTGACATTTTCATGTAGAGCGATTTTCAAACACCAACATATACATGCAAAATATTTACACACAAGTGTCAGATATATTCGGACAAACAATGTAAGACAATAAGTCGCAAGAAAAAAGATAATGGGACATAATTCATCTTTTTGTCCAATTCTGACAGTCTATTTCTTCCTAAAAAAACAGATTTTCGAGAATGAACAAAGTCGAAAACCAAGATGGATATTTCTTCTCTAGTTTCTTCTTTAGTAATAGTGTTCACATTGAAACAATCTAATTAAGTATCGCAGCAGAAAACTAGTGCATAAGTGTGGTTGGACAATGATTTTTCCGAGCCGTCAGCAAAACTGTTAGAAAAACAAATTTTCAAATGCTTGTTGTAAACAATGTAATAATTACAAGAAAAACAGACAGACAACTTACTTGAGAAAATGATTAGATGACCCAATTAATGTCGGGTTGTAAATAAATCAGCTCGTGAGAGCGCATGCTAATGAACACCAAATTAATGACAATGGATTTCTGTTTCGCGTTAAACTCCTTATTACTGGTGAACATATAAGCATCATTTTGACTTTTGATTGAAAATAGAGTAATAATCTACGTTCACCTAATCATCGGACACTATAGAAATGCATTCCCCAACGTTGTTTAATTGCTTTATCGATTGAGCTTTTAGACAACAAGCTTGAAGATAGTCAGCTCCCTCGGAAAAACAACTGTTTGGATCCAGGAACCTGAACAGTAACATAGCTATTTTTTTTAAATCACGACATAATATATACAAAAACAGACTGAGGAGTTAATACAACTCAATCTTACTATGTAAAAAATAAGTTATTCAATTGCTTTACTTTTTGTGGTATTATATGATATTCACATTGTCATCCACTTTTACTTTCAACTTTATTACAACACGAAACTAGTTCCTGTCAACTATTTTGAATTGTCTCCAATGAGAAACTATTTGTTTACATCTGATACATTTAACGTTCAAAATTGATAAGAATAAAAAAGCACAAGTTGGGATTCTGAAAGAACCCGCTAAAAATGCTTTTCTAGCGAATGACATTTAAGAACATAGAAGTAGTTTAGCCATAGATTTTAAGCTTATTACAGAAATTCTATTTTGGCATGGGTTTGCGAGAAGATTTAGAATCAATGTCAACACTAATCGATTGGATCTCCAACAAGTTACTTACGTGCTAATGAGCGGGTAAGTGTGAAATAGACCATAACCGTCATAGAAAATTAGACCAATTTGTTAATTCAGTTTACAAGCAACAGTGCAGGACTATTTCTGGTCATGTAGCAGCACCACAATCCAATAACAACAATAGTTAGAGTTTAAGCTTAACAGCTTTAAAATAAGTCTGATGGAGAACGTTATTACACCACCCCAGTTGTGAAAATATTTCGAGACTTGTTACAAGTCAAGATTTCATTTAGTAGATCTTCATTTGGAAAAGCTTTGACTAAGCAATAAAAGTATATTAGAGTTGCTTCAAGTTAAAGGATATTCATTGAGAGTGCATGAGATAACTAAGGGGGGGGGTTACTGAAACTAATATAAATAAACCACCTAGAGCAAGGTTTAGAAATGTGAAATTATAACGAAGCAATTAAGTGGAACTTACTTTCCAACGGTGGCCGCAATTGTTACAATAGACAAAAGTGGTCATTGGTTCATCTGCACTACGGGTTTGGACCTACGAAAGAGGAAGTATATATGTTGAGGGAAGACAAAAATGACTGAATCCTACCGTATCAAGTAAATAAAATGATACTGCATGTGGTGACTTGTAATTAAAATGTGAGCTGTATAAATAGGTAACTCTGCCTGGAGTCCCTCCGGGGGCTACTGCCGGTCCTAAGCCCGGATAAAGGAGGAGGGCTGAGCATGGGGTTAGCGACCCCATCCCGTAGAAAACTAACTCGCTAAAAAACGCTAACCAGAAAAAACTATTCAAACCATATAAACTCTGCCCTGAGAGTCAGAAAGTCTTCGTTTAGAAGAATTATGACGCCTCATGATGAAATCCGAGTTCCTTCGGAAGTCACGAGGCCGATGCCCATTCTGACAACCAGAGCAACCATTTATTTAGGTAGATAGAATGCTCGTATAATGTGGGAGACTGGGAGAGTTTTCCAAATTGCTGCAGAAATGAGGAGATACAACCTAGAGGTGCTTGGGATCAGTGAAACACATTGGACGCAAGTTGTACAACAACGACTAGCTTCAGGGGAGCTGTTGTTATACTCCGGCCACGATGAAGAAAATCCCCCACATACACAAGGAGTTGCATTGACGCTGTCCAAACAAGCACAAAATGCACTTATAGGATGGGAATCTCATGGACCAAGGATCATCAAAGCCTCCTTCAAAACAAAGAAAGAGGGCATTACAATGAACGTCATCCAATGCTACGCGCCTACCAACGACTACAATGAAGATGCTAAAGATCAATTCTACGATAGGCTGCAGTCAATCGTCAAGATGTACCCAACAAAGGACCTGACCATTCTGATGGAAGATTTAAATGCCAAGGTTGGAATGGACAACACTGGATATGAAGAGATCATGGGACGACACGGACTGGGAAAAAGGAACGAAAATGCAAACCTATGTGCCTTCAATAAAAGGGCATTATCTATCTGTTCTGTCCTGATCTGAAACTTCTTAGTAATGCACATTCATAACTTCGAGGGAGCTTGAGTCCAGAAATTTCGGGACACGCAGCAACTTTGCAACTTATAAATCACTCACTTCGGTCCTAATGGTTTGCACTTACAATTTCAGTTAATTTGTGATACAATAAGATTATCACCTACCGTCATCGGTGATGACTTTTATTTCCAGATTTTATTTGAGGATAATTAACTTAAGGCAACTAACCTGATTATATGTACACTTGGTCTGTTTACACTTTCCACATCGTAATAAATCAGTTTCCGTTCCACCAGTTACAGCCATTTGGTGGTCTTCTATAGTTTCTTTAGTATATTTCTCACGAAGTTCTTTCATTTCTTTACTAGCCATCTCCTACACAATCAAATCAATAAATAAGGAACTTAAGAAAATAGTTACGTATCCTACTAAAATTAAATTGTAGCATGGGGGTTTCGGAATTCGCTTTAGGCATATTCCGGTTAAAAATAGTGGATAACATATTGATCGATAGATGATCTATAACAGTCAATCAGAAACATTACTGAAGCAAACCCCGTTAGGAAACAACACAAGGTTCTATTGTATTTAAGTGACTACTACTAGTACTTCTGTTGCTATTCCTTTAATCATTCTGAATTGGTGTATGCAACTTTTGTAAACAACATAGATCTAACTTTCACACATGGTATCATTATTTGCTTTTAATGAATAGATTCAGGAAACTAAAGTGGATTTTGTGTATACTTGGTTCTGAAAATAATTAGTTGGATGATCAATGCTGTGCATTACACAAAACCCGAATAGATCGAATATTGGTGACCACTAATTGACTCAGTAGAGATAGCACGGATTATTAGACTGTTGTAGTAACAAGTCAGGAGATTGCATCTCGTGATTAGTTGTCAATTAATTGATCATAACGTACTAGTTCACTTCAATCGATCAACATTCTATGTCACTAAACATTTAAACCAAACCCATAGAAATCAAAAACTTACATCCAATAACAAGAGCAATACTTCTAAAAACGGACTTGAAAAATCAGTCAGGCAGTCAGCTGCAACGTAGGACCAGGCACATATATGCATCGGTCCAAGTTGCCATACCGCATTAGCACAACAAGATGAACACCGGATTCATAGAAGTAGTTAAGTGAATGGTGGAAATATATAAAAGAAAGATTAAATATAAGGATATAATACAGGAAGGAAGAATTAGTTCGTAGAAAGAAAGATATGAAGTGATTTTAATCTCTTAGTTTAAAGGAAGACAGAGAGTGTATACATCGACCCCATTGTGATCGATTCTGAGCCATGTCACTAAGAGTCTCCAACCATTGGTTACGATAGTCACGCGGACCCCAACCAGGTAGTCTGCATCTACCAACAAGGCTCAGCCCACAAGTTAGTGTCTTCAAGCACTGATGCCACGTTTTGGTTTGGCCGCCCCTAACTTTCTTCCAATTATATTTAACACCAGTGAGCATTGCGCGTTGTGGTAATCGATGTTCAGGCATACCCAACACGTGGCCCAACCATCTCAGTCGATGAAGATTCATAACCTCACCTAATGATTTACCATCGTTCCCTAATACCCTACGTCTAACCTCACTATTACTTACCCGGTGATCCCAGCAGATTCTGGCAATATTTCTAAGACATCTGTGGTCAAATACTTGTAGCTTACGAGTATCTTCTACTCTTAGAGGCCATGTTTCGCAGCCGTATAGTAGAACGGAACGAACTGCCGCGCAGTATACTCGTCCCTTAATTGATAGACGGATATCTCGCCTGCGCCTGTGCCACTTTAATAATTTGTAGAGGATGTATGCATGCAAATATTTTTATGACCTCAAATACTTGTGAATGAATGATAAACTGGGTGCACCATAATATTCGGATAATGAATTATTGGATTATTTTGAAAAGAAATTAGATGACGTATTTGGAAATCATGAGTATTCATTTAGTTTAACCTAATAGTTTATGCCATATTAACTAAGGAAGATTGATTTAGCGAACAGTTCTCTTTTCGGCGAATTCATTTTCAAAGCTGTATAATCGCAAATCTATACATACTTTTCAAAATAATAACAATGTCAATAATAGTGAGGCAAAATAAATAAAGATATTCTGAAGAGAATAATTGCTGACTCTCAATAGATCGTTCTTTTCAGCAACCTTGCGATAAGTGTTCTCCAGTCGGCCAATGTTTAGCAATAACCTCAAAGATGAATTAACTCATTTGACCTGTTCCATGTGAGTTCATCAAATAACATATTCCTGTGGAGCCAGGTATATAGGTCGTTCGATGTATATTTCATCCAAAAGAGTTAAAGAACACTACCCAGCTTGGCTAAAGAGGCGACAACGGCTCAATAGGAAGCTCTATAATCGAACACCATGTGGACGTAAGTCGTTTGACCAAAGAGGACTCAGCATCTAGTCATTTATAAAGTGAGTAAAAAACTGCCAAGGACAGTGAGCTTCTGTTTTCTTAGCGTTGCCGAGGCATTTGCTACATATTTGAAAAAACAAGAAATATGTGTGCACAAGAAACTTGTACAACCTCTTTCTTTACCACAGCTAGATGTTGCTCCGGAAGAGTATGTTAGGTATGTTGGAAACTTTAAAAACATCTCTAATGAAGTGACAGTATGTAATAACCTACTTTTAAGTAAGTGTACCTAGATGGTTATTTGATTGATCCGACTAACCGTTTAAAGCGCAACTCGTAATGGTCAGTGGTAGCCTTAGATAACATTAATACTGTGGTAGTGTTGGTATGGTTGTGAAATGTTTAAGTTTGATTTACATACGAGAAACCACGTCTTACAACTGAATACAGATAGCTCAAAAAATGTAGCAAGTTTGCTTCCATAGCTATCTAAAGAATCCTAAAATTGACCAAAATTGCACAATGCCTTTTAAATTGGTACTTCTATGACGAATATTGAATAGATTAATATTGAATGAGATATCGTTGACATAACGCTAACCAACCAATTTTAAATAAGTAACTAACTAGCTGAGTACATGTTGATTAGAAGGCAGTTACCAACACTCAACCAAAGTGGGCTTCAAACATGCAAAGTGGGTTGATAAGCATTCAAATAATTAGGTTAATAAAAATTGAAGTTACTAAATAAACGGTACAGAAAAAGGATGGTTTTCTGACATTTCGATGAACTTTTTGACAGAGACCCAGTGGTTATTGATTAGTAGGTCAGCGAAACATCGTTCAATGGTGTGGGCAGCCGGGAAGTAACAATCGTCTTCATACCTCTAATAGAACCTAAGATTATTTTTGAATTCCACATAATTTTATTGTTTTTATTCCACTACCTTATATTTTCTTGAATCTTATCTTAGATGTTTAATCATTTCCATTACCACTGGTACTGTTACTACCTTTGACACTCTTGGATTTGGCCTGACAATGTCATCTCTGTGCTAATGAGGTATGGCAACTTGAACTGATCTACATACATACCAAGCTCTACGTTGCTACTGCTTCCGAATTACCAGTTACTGAACTATCTGTACAAAAAATCAGTCAGCTAAATAAGTTATGTGGGTCACTCAAGTTCAAACACTGTGAATAGATTGAGAAAACTATACAAACGAAAACGTTTAGGACAAGTCACGCTTAATGTGAGCAAAGCCAGATGTTATAAACTGACCAATTCACACTACTGCTGAAGATAAGAGTATTAATTGATGACAGAATCAAGTTAGGTAACATATTTGCTGATCTGTAAAGTTAGTTTCAAAATGGTAGACTACTGAAAAAAAAATATACATGGATTTCCAACAAAATAATGAAAACTTACTTCTGATGTCATAGATGCTAGTTTATCCGGACTCACGTGTCCCATCAGGACATTAAGTCGCAAATTGGGATTATTAGAATCGCGTAGATTCATAACTCGAGTACGTACTCGTTGTTTGTACTTGGGATCAGTATTGTTGAAAAGGTCATATATGGAGCTTTCTATTCGTATTGCTAGGAACTCACTTTCATAAGCACCGCTAGGAATATCTAAGAAATGAAATCAGTGTAGGTCTGCTACTGTCACTTACTGCCACTTTCTAGTGCTGATTGAAGCATCTCCCGGGCTTTTAAACGTACTTGATCTGTTGTAGTCAAAGTGTGGACAGGGAAAAAACCACGACTTGCATTTCCCGATAGTTCTGTAGATTCCTTCTTCTCACTTGGCCGAGACCGTTTGGCTTCTTGTGGTCCTCCATCGTCACAGACACTGTAGTTATTTGACTCAGGTGAATGTTTATTGTCATTATTGTTGCCATTGTCATTATTGTTATTGACAACAGTGTTGGTGCAAGATGTAGGAGCTTCACTTTTGTCTAAAATATATCAAGATATAAAAAGGAATCGTTAGTAACTTCTCAAAAATATCAGTAACGACTAATAGGTTGTATGGTTCCCTGATTTAGCACTACAATTATATTAAGCACTTGGCTGGAAAAGAATATGCCATTAAAGTTAATAATTGCTTTATCTGAGGAACAGAAACAAGACCTCTTTTAAGAAGTGAACCTGACACAAGCATAACATACTTTAAAGATATGGAGATTCGGAACGACAAAATCAAACAGCTTGATTTTACTACTATTATTAATATCTTAATACGATATGTTGCAGTAATTATAAATAAAAACATTGAACCATCTTTGTTTACCTTCCGATATCACTTTATATTGAAGCCCTTACTATCCCAGCTACTTCAGTAGTTGAAAGTTGATGATAATATGAGGCAATCAACTACTTACGTAGCATTCTAAGATTTACATCAATACTGCTTAACCAAGTCTGAATGTACACCACTAATCCCTCTAAGATAGCTATGTCCAAATGCTATCAACCACTGAGTACTTTCGATTCTCAGCCCGACTGTTGTTGCTACCTTGACGTGGTGGTCGGGCTTGCTTATCGTGATGAAGCAACTGAGCTATACTGGCTGGAACAACTGTTCCTCGAGGTCCTACCATGCCAGACAGGTCGATTGAAGAGCGGTAAGACTAAAAGCAACAAATCCAAGGTCCGAAGTCGTACTGCTGACTGTACAGAGGTGTGACAGCAGTAAGGTGTTTCCTTCAGACAACCAGCATAACAGCGATGCTGCCTTCCCAAAGGGAGGGGTAGGGTTGGAAAAGGTCGACCCTAAAAATCCACACCTCGCCTATCCCACGAATATTTTGAAAAGAAATTAGATGACGTATTTGGAAATCATGGGTATTCAACAAGTACGGAGCTAACACAAAAGCTACTCATAAAAAGGTCGTGTGTGACCGACCCCAAGCAGCTGTCCCTTGGGCACTGCAGTCACGCTCTCAGGTCACTATGACCACCTCTAATCCAATTTCCTTTTCAGGTACCTCCAAAACAACCCTTCCACGGTGTGGGCAACCGGGAAGTGATAACCGCCCTCATACCTCTAACAGCACTCAAGACCACTGTATTCATATTCAACCTCTCTCTTCAATTCCTTTTATTCCTTCTACATCGACTTTCAAATCTAAACTTCCTCTTTTGATTTTCTCCTCAAGTGTCACCATGGCCAACTATCCTAGCGCGCGAAACACTGTCCCAAGTCTACTGAAACCTCGCTCAAAACTACAAATTGGAGCCTTCAATGTACGCACTCTATTTCAAATCGGCCAATAGGCCTCCTTGGTTAAATCCCCAGAATCTCGTACCATTGATGTATGCTATGTCCTCGAAATACGCATACAGGATCCTAGTGTGGTCATCCACTTGACCAGTGGATTTCAGTTAAGTCTATTGCACTGATAGATTTTCATAAACTCATCCCATCAGGCTCTGAACACGATGAAGAGCGAAAAGAAATCAGATCTAGGTTAACCAAAAGTCCAAGGAACGACCGTGAGCAGTGGTGGGCAACGAAAGCAAGAGATAGAAAAGGCAGTGGCTGTAGGTAACACCAGACAGCTTTTCAGACTAATAAAAAAACTGCAATTAAGAAGTCAAGTGTACGTGAGACTATCTCGGAAAAAACGGTACTCTGATCTGCTCTCAGCCCGGATGTTAAGAACGATGGGCGGAACAATTTAAAGAGCAGTTCAGCTGGCCTTTACCTACTCTACAACTACATACCATTCCCAAGCAGCCTGGATGGTAATAGGTACCTCGACTCTAGTTGAAGTTTCGGAAGCTATAGCTAATCTGAAACGAGGAAGGGCAGCTGGTCCAGATGGATTGGCTCTAAAGGTCTTTAAGGATGGTGATCTAACCTTAGCGATTAGGTTGACTAATAATTTAGCTAAAATTTGGGAGTTAGACGTAATCCCATCTGAGTGATTGCAATCAGTTGTTGTCCGAATATATAAATAGGTGTCAAAATCATCCTGCGACAACCATAGAGGGACTAGTTTGACTAACATAGCATCTAAAATACTAGCCTTGACAATTACCGGACGCCTAATAAAGACTCGTGAACTGCAAACACGAGAAAATCAGGCTAAATTCAGACCTGGTCGTGACTGCATCAACCACATATTCACCATCCGCCAGGTGCTAGAACACGGGCACGCTTACCGGAGTCCGGCAATGGTGGTCTTTCTTGACTTAAAAGCAGCATTTGACTCTGTAGAGTGAAATTCTGTAGCAGTGAAAGGTGTACCTCAGAAATATATAAACTTTGTGAAGGCTTTTTACTAGAACATTACCAGTCGAGTCCGACATTACGGTGGCTTGACATCTGACTTTACAACCTCAAGTGGTGTCCGGTAAGGCTATCCACTATCCCCATTCTTGTTCAACTTCATCATAGACCTACTGCTGGAAATAACGTTCTCATCTGGATTTTCGGGATTTGATCTTCCAGGTCCATTTATCGAATTACAATACACAGATGACGTAGTCCTGTTTGATGAAAATGCTGAGAAAAATGCAATCTTTTGGCAGCACTGAACAACTTCCAGGATGTTTGGGATGCGCTTTTCTCCCTCTATTATTATATTTTATTTATTTTATTTGAACACATAAATATTGGTACAGGGGGGCACCAAATATATATGCGCCACACAAAACAATGATAATTTGAAGAGAAGGAGAAAAGAGAAAAAAAAAGAAAAAAGAAAAAAAAAGTAATGGACGTGGGGAATTATAAAAAAAAGGAAGAGAGAGAGAACAATGGTGGGGGAAACGGAAAGGTACAATCAGAAGAGATCTTTCAGTTAAGGAAGATACAACCACTTTTTATGAAGAAAGTAAAAGAAGGTTACAGCAAGATCGCCACTGGCTTCTATTCTGAGCCATATCTGATAACGTTTCTGGCCACTGCGTTACACCGTCTCTCGGACCCCAACCAGGGAGTCGTGAAGGACCAACACAAGCCAGCCCTTTGCAGCTTTCTTTCATACCACGACACCATGTCATATACTGACCACCTCTCCGCTTTTTCCAACCAGTCCCAGAGTCGGCAAATAATGCACGACGTGGAATTCTCTGGGACGACATTCGTAGAACATGTCCAAGCCACCGAAGTCAGTGTTTCAAGATGGTGACACCAATTTCATTATTGTCTCTGTGACCGAACACTCGATGCTGAACCTCTGCATTACTGACATGGTGTTGCCACTGGATGCCAGCAATCCTTCGGAGACAGCGATGATCGAACACAGAGAGTCGTCTCACATCCTCAACTCGGAGAGGCCAGGTTTCACAAGCATAGAGCAAAACTGCTCTCACCGTCGCGTTGTAGATCCGACCTTTTACAGCCAGACTAACATCACGAAGGCGCCAAAGATGGCCCAGATTGGCATAAGCCGCTCTGGCTTTCACTATACGTGCATTGATCTCATCACTCACACCACCACCAGCACTTATGCAGCTACCTAGATACACGAACTTCTCGACTACTTCTATCTGCCCACCGTCCAGAATGAGTACAGGATTAGAATCCTGCCAGTCTTGTAGGAGTACTTTGCACTTCGAAGGTGCAAAGCACATACCATACCTACGGACACTGATTGCCAACTGATTAAGTGCGGATTGCATGGCTTGGGCATTCTCGCGCAGTAAGACAATATCATCCGCATACTCAAGGTCGAGAAGTCTTTCTCCAGGCAACAGATCCACACCACCATTACTTACATCCATCAGAGGTATTTCTAGATTGTCATCGATGGCAAAGTTGAAGAGGAATGGTGAGATTGGGCAACCCTGCCTAACCCCACTGCTCGAATGGAATAGTGGAGAAAGGTGGTTGTATGCCCTCACTCTGCCTGAGGTGTTTGTGTATAAAGCTTTTAGGATGTTAATAAACTTCTCAGGCACACCCTTCTTCAATAGACAATCCCAGAGAACAGTTCTGTCCAACGAATCGAAGGCAGCCCTGATATCAAGAAACACTACGATTGTTGGCCTTTGATAAGTATGGCGGTGTTCTAACACTTGGCGGAGGGTGAAGATATGATCAATACATCCTCGACCAGAACGAAACCCAGCCTGCTCCTCGCGAGTCAATCCTTCTCGGGTTCTGAACAACCTATGAAGTATGACGGAAGCCAATAGCTTGGACGCAATCGGAAGTAGACTTATCCCCCGATAGTTGTTACAGGAACAACGTGAACCCTTTTTAAAGATAGGGACAACTATCGACTCATTCCATGACGTTGGTACACTCTCTAGTTCCCAGATCTTTCTCCCTCTAAATGCAAGTTGTTGCTTCAGGACTGGTCTGCGTCAACACCTGAACTAAGAATGAGAAGCGAAGTAGTCGAACGCGTTGACAACTTCACTTATCTTGGAAGTCTGATCAGCCCTAATGGGTTGGTGTCTGACAAAATCTCTACACGGATTAGAAAAGCTCGTTTGGCTTTTGCAACCTTACGTCATCTATGGCAAAGGCGAGATATTCATTTATCAATTAAAGAACGAGTATACTGCGCGACAGTTCGTTCTGTTCTACTTTACGGCTGCGAAACATGGCCATTAAGAGTAGCGGATAGTCGTAAGTTACTAGTATTTGATCACAGATGTCTTGGAAATATTGCTCGCATCTGCTGGGATCACCAGTTAAGTAATAATGAGGTTAGACGCAGAGTATTATGAATGATGGTAAATCAGTTGATGAGGTTATGAATCTTCATCGACTGAGATGGTTGGGCCACGTGTTGCGTACGTCTGAGCACCGATTACCAAGATGCACAATGCGGACTTGTGTTGTGGATGGTTGGAATAAAGTTAGGGGCCGCTAAACCAAAACATGGCATCAATGCTTGAAGTCATTAAATTCTAGTCTGAGCCATGCTAGTAAATGCAAACTACTTGGTTGGGGTCCGCGCGACTATCACAACCAATAGTTGAAGACTCTGGATGATATGGCTCAGAATCGATCACGATGGCTTAAGTGTACACACTCTGTCTTCCTTTAAACAGCGAGATTAAAATTGGTTCATACCTTTCTTTCTACGAACTAACACTTTTCTTCGTGTATTATATCCTTATACACAATCTTTCTTTTATATATTACTACCACTGAAGTAACTACTATGAATTAAGTGTTCATCTTGTTGTACTAATGAGGTCTGGCAACTTGGACCGATGGATATATGTGCCTGGTTCTAAATTGTAGCTGGATAACTGCGTGTACTCCTTAATTTATCATAGGAAACGAAAGGTGTCGCTTCACTGGTTTGTGTCCAACGAATGCATTATAAGGACTAGATAACGAAAATCAATTTATGAGGCAGTCGATTTACACCAACCAGGATGGTCGGGATATGCAGTAATGTATGTCCAACTACCGCCTACGCCAACAGGTCAAATTTTTTGGCGTAGGAGTGGGCATGAATCTAAAGGGTGGCCAGATTAGGATGTGATATCAGTCCATGAAGCTCGACTGTCATGATAAGTGTAAATCACCCGGCTGAGGTCCGTACGATAGCTGCAACCAACGGTCTGGGACGAGTGATCACTAAAATTTGATCGTAACTATTGCTACTACTAATGATACCACTTCTACGGTGATAAAATTTACGGACGACCTTTGAGAAGTACTAGAGTCCTTAGGAAACCTAGACCACGTGCTGTGGTCGAAACATGTTTATATATCAGTGTGAGGAAACGAGACAAGAAGTTAGAGTTGTAGGTTGGGGCAAGGAATTAGAATAAAGGTTTTTTGTCGGCTATAATACCAAAATGTAATTTGATCATAGTGACGAATGAATTTTGAGTCGAAATCCAAGAAGGTGAACGGTAGAATATCGTCCCAAGACATTTCATCAATACGAATCTCAGAGGACAAGAGATGGATTCAAGAGATTACGCACAAAATTTACCTACCTGGGACCAGCTTTTTCCACTGCTTTATCATATTTTTCCCCAATGTAGCAACCTCCGGATCTTCTGACTCCTTTCTTATCTTGTTGATAATTATACCTACACCGGTTTTCGTTAAGATTTCCAGAGTCATCTCAATGCTTCGCAATCTCCTAAGGTATTTCAGCGCAGACTCATCATCCTGAGAAAATACATTACTATAGCTAGACCAAATCATACTATTTTTTTGTTTTTTAGCATGCGGTCAAGCCGCCGGGCAACATGTTCAGTTTCTTCCATCTTGTGGTTTGCAATGTGCAACTCGACTAAACGGCTGGAATTGTCGTAGGAGTAAATCCTTCAATGGGATGCTAATATGTGATAGTACGTTGTTTACTGGAGGAACGTTCAAATAAATCTGGAGAAATAAGGGAAGTGAAACGATGAGTCACCAAGAATATATAGTGAATTTACATTTATTAATGAAAGCAGTTGACAATTAGTAATGACGCAAGAGTAAGATCAGGAAAATCTGAGAACCGAAACTGAGAGTCTGTAGGTTACTATTTGAACGCGTTACACGCTCAACGATTGAACAGAGCGCTTTAAGAGCATTATTTTAGACCTTCAATTTCTCTCTCGCGGGTGTCTTTTTGACTCACTATCAAGGTATTAGTGACTAGATAGTTGATTTTCTTGCTGTTGTGTCTTTCCATAAAGGGGCTGTTTCGGAATTTTTAATTGTGATGTTTGTCTAGATAATCTGCTGTCCTAACCATAAAGACAATTAGTTCACCTTTCAGTCTTCAGTAATAAGGACAAGAGGTCTATCGAATCATACTAATTCTTACAGTCTATGACACTATGGAGGTCCAGTGCAGTTTTGAATATATCAACATTCACGTAAGGCTCATACAAACAAACAGTAAGAAGCTCACGCTTTTCACATTGAAAGCATAAACTGCCTATACATGAATGCCACAAGTCTACCAAATAAAATAGATGAGCTACGTGAACTTAGCAATGCAAATAAGACCCATCTGACAAAAATATCTGAAACATGGATATCTTCTCAGTTTACGGACCAGGGGCTAGCAATACCTGGGATGTCTATGTTTCGCAACAACAGAAAAACAGGAATTGGTGTGGAGTAGCCGTACACGATCTTGCTTGGAGGTACACCAAGTTCACAACCATGAATTTAACAATTTTGAGGAATCCATATGATGCTCTGTAAGATTGTGTACTGCTTAAAAGTGCCTAGTCGGGGTCAACTATAGGAAGCCCTCTGCTGACATCGAGTATGACAGTCGAATGCTGGAGGGACTATCCCGATCTACGTGTCTCGGTCTCACTTATATTCTGATTCTAAGGGACTTCAATCTTTCTGAAGTCAATTTCAAGGAAGTGAAAACTCAACTAAAGCTCGGTTCTTCAATCTCACTGAAGATCTGGGATTATACGGAAATGTGAATCCGGAACTCGTTGGAGAAACAGTCGGATACCGTCATTTTTATACTGGGTATTCAGAAACGAAGAATTTCTAGTTGAAAACCTCTCAACCCTGGCTCCCCTGGCGGGAAGCGATCACGCCTTCAGTTTTGTCAGCAAAACTGAGCTCAGATATCCCACCAGCAACAGGAGCTGGAATTTCAAATGGTTGAATGTGTCAGCTCTACAGGACTATCTACAACAGGTGGATTGGGATGTTCACCCTCAACTTGATGTGGATGCTCATTGGGACTTCTTGCTGCACACGCTCTCATGTGCTACAAAGCAGTCAGTTCCTCAAACGGTCCACAATAGCTACAAGCAACCCACAACCATCAAGAACCGCAGACTTCGTTTGCTAAGCCGCAAAAGGCATATTTGAGTAGAATACAAACGAACTGACAACAATGGCGTGTACAGGCAATACAAATATATAAGGAACATATGCACGAAGGCTATAAGAAAATACAGGCTTTAGTATCAGATAAAACTTATGGATACATTTGTCTCCAATCCGACAAGCTTGTTCCATTATTCAGCCTCTCTTCGTCGAGACAAAACTGGAGTTTCCCAACTGCTAGGTCCAATAACGACGGCGACGCCGCTAAACTTCTGGCTGAATAATGCTCTTGGACATTTCTACCGACCCACGTCAACTATACTGATGACACCTTCATCTGCAACTGCACAGGACTTTCCGAAGTGAACCTGAGCTCTGACTTGGGGCTCCGGAAAATGCAGCACCTAATAAAAGACACTTCTGCTGGTCCGAATATGGCTCATTCTGTTATACTGAAGGAAGCAGCGTCAATCCTGGCAGCACCGCATGACATAATGTTCTCACACTCTCTTAGCCGAAACAAACTACCGGAAATTTGAAAGCTGGTCCACATCACACCAATTTGCAAAGGAGTTCGACGCAGCGAACCTCCAAGTTACCGACCTGTAGCTCTTGTCTTTATACATTCAACAATCATTGAGTCCCTGATATGCGATAGTATACATAACTATTTACTGTCCTTAAATTTCTCACTCAAAAAGCATGGCTTCAGGAAGGGTTTTTTCTGTATGATCAACCTGCTGACTGCGGTGGACAGATGGACAAGCATCCTTGATCGCAGGTGGGAGGTTGATATTACTTACCTTGATTTCTCAAACGTTTTTGATAAGGTCAACCATATATGTCTTACTAGTAAGTTCAAACAATTGGGTATCAAACCACCTCTAATTGATTGGCTTAGTTCATATCTGAATAGTCGACACTTTAATGTCAGGGTAAACTTCAATTTATCACAGGCTATGGAATGTCCTACTGGGGTCCCTCAGGGTTCAGTATTAGGACCTCTTCTCTTCTTGATTTATATAAATGATTTTCCAAAACAGGTATCGTCAGATTTATTACTTTTTGCTGATGACGTGAAACTTTGGAGAGATACGCAACCAAGACGATATACAGGCACTTCAGGAGGATCTGACTCAACTTCAAAGTCGGGCAGATGATAACGGACTTACTTTTAACACTTCAAAGTGTAATGTATTCCATCTGTGACATGTCGCAGACTACAATTACAACTTAAGAAACTTCTGTCTAGTAGTACGCCAAATCGAAAAAGATTTAGGTGTCCTGGTGCACAACGACTTAAAGTCTTACGCTAACTGTGACAGATATGCCTTTCGAAAAAACCTTGCACTGGTAACATTGAAGCGCATATTTGGTCAGTTTGACGGCAGAACTTTCCACACAATCTTCAGCAGTTTTATTCATCCCTATTAATAGTACGGAAACATAGTATTTCCTTCCTCACTCCAAAAGAATAAGGACACTCTGGAGCGTATCCGACGGCGAGGAGAGCCTTCAATCACTTGACCTTTACCCATTAGAGTATAGGTGTCTTATAGGTGGCCTAATGGCTTACAGTATCCTAAACACTTCTGGGTTTCCTCTTAAACACCTAATTAAGTTTGGTTCCAATGCTAACCTAAGGGTAACACCTGGAAATTGGAGATACAACATAGCAGAACGGACTGCAGACACAACTTCTACTATTTAAGAGTTGTCAAATGCTGGAATTCGCTGCAGGCTGAGCTAGTTCAAGTGAATTCTCAGGAGTTCTTTAAGGGATAACCTGACCTATTCTTAAAGACTAAGGATAGTATCTTACTATGATTTATCAACTTCTTTTTTCTCTTTTATCGTTAGTATACCTAGGTTCTTGTTTGGAGGTATTAGTGATCCACTACTACTAATCACGGAAGCCCGTTAAGCGAAAGCTTCTTCTATTCCGTCCACAACCATTTGAACCATTCGAATTGTTTCACTGGACCTCTTAATTCCAAACTCTCAAGGTTGCAAAAAACAAACACTTGATCGCCGATTCGTTTACTCGATATTATTAAAGTACGGGGAAGGATCTGTAGTGCCGCTCTATATTCCTGCTACCAAGTATGAAGCAAAACGTACTTCAGTATTTGCTGTACGATGGAATGAATACGGAAGGCCAGTTATTTAGGATAAAAAAAAGTGATTTTATTATTCACACGACTTTTATTTCGGATAGATGATGTGGTTCATTTCGTTTTGGACGTGTCTCTGATTGGTTGTAATATCCGGTTTTTTATTAATTATCCTGATTCCGGAGTTCCATTTCAGCGGTTGCAATATCGGGAGCTACCTCTGAATAACCCAACTCTTACTGGCAAACAATCGGATTGTTTTGATAATTTTTTCGAGTTAAAAAAAATAAGTGTCTGCGGATCTTTTCACTTTTACTTTTCAAAAGATGGATCTTCTCCTAGCTCTCCATCAACTGCAACATGTCTGAAAGGGAATATAGCTGGTTCAGGATATATTATCGTTGATCCAGATTTCACTGGTAAAAAGGTTGTCACGGAGCTCTCAGAAAATAGCTGTGGGAAAAATTGGGATTTAAGTGGCGTGGTCCTTCAGTCTTATTTGTCCAAAAATCTTGGAATATTCCCTGAATGGGAATCAAGACTTTATACAGCCAGGAATGGTGGATATAATATGATTCATTTTACTCCTCTTCAAGTTAGTAGCTTTCCATTTGATTGTTTGTTTTTCGTTTTATCGTAATGTCGAGTTTTGATGTTTATATTTTGTCGGTCCCAATTTTGTACTGTCATGTAAGGTATGCTGAACGGTATCTTTCTAAGCGAGCAAATCAAGTAGTTTTGAAGTCAGCCGAGATGAATGAAGTGGTTTATAATCACATTCTAAGAACAAAATATTATCACTGTATATCTCTCATTAAGTACGTTTGTCACTGTTTTCAATGAATTTGTTAATGGGACTTCTTCAGTTTTCACTATTTTATTGAGAGCACAAACTTATGTAAGTTAAGCAACCATCAAAAAATGGAATGATTAAACGGCTGTTACCTTTTGGCATGGGACTGTTCAGCAATGTACAGTCACAAACCTCGTCATCGGAAATCAAACTCAAGATCTCCCGTCTAGTACATATACGCCTAACCTCCGGATTACTGGACCGATATCCATTGGTGTACAAACGTAGCTCCAATCATTTCACGATATCGCACGACCATGTTCTATCGTCTTTGGTGGGTACCTTCATTACGTTCGGGACAGTCAAAACACACTAGTCGCGGCTTCTCACTAGAACTCTATAAACTTCCCTAAGGTAGCCACCAGTAAATAAATGACAAGTACCAGTATGGTGGGTTAGGGAGATTGTTTCTTCGGCAGAAAAGAGAATCACTTGGCTTGTAAACTGTCTATTTCAGAAAGCAAGTATTTGTTACAGTGCCTAAAAATATTAACAAACAAAA